TCTCTCTCTCTCTCTCTCTCTCTCTCTCTCTCTCTCTCTCTCTCTCTCTCTCTCTCTCTCTCTCCCCACACACACACACACACACACACACACACCTGCTCTTATTCTTCTTCTTCCTCCTCCCCCTCCTTTTCCTTCTCCTTCCCCCTCTACTCTTTCCTCCTTCGTCATCGTCGTTGTCATTGTCGTTGTCATCATCATCGTCTTCTTTGTCGAACCATTCAAGTGATCCATTCCGCAGTCTTCCCGTTTATGCATCCACCTGTTTCATCAGTCCAATCATTCATCTCGATTGAGTTCAATTCAAAGGAATTCAAATGTAATGAATTGATCAATCGATCGGTCAATCGATCCGTCAATCGATCGGTCAATCGATCGGTCAATCGATCAGTCAATCGATCAGTAAATCACATGGTCAATCCATCAGTTAAACCACCAGTACGTTTCCCAGCCATTTTTCTGTGATGTGGCCGTGCTCGCACCGCAAGTTTGTAGTGTCAGCCTACCAGAGCAAAAGGGTGGGCTGCAGCCCCCGAAAAAGGCTTGCGCAGGTTTGTTCTTTTTTGGGGCCCCGTTTCCAGGCTCGGCAAGGGAAGCATCACAAGTACTGTTGCTTGGTTGGTTATGGAGCAGCAAAAATGTCAATTCATTGTTGATTCAGCTGATGACGTGTTCAAGCACTGTGCACGCTGAGATTGGCTTCTAGACCAGTCGTGAGATACGTGTTCGAGCACTGTGCACGCTGAGATTACAGACAGGAGAGCGGCACTACAGTCAATCAATTGGAAGGACAGACTAGTCAGCATACTCGCAATTTGATTGGCTGGTTAGGGGGCTGCTTGCTTTTTTTTGTGTAGCCGGCTGGTTGGTTGGTTGAGTTGCTGGGGGGGGTGGTTGGTTAGTTGAGTTGCTGGGTGGGGTGGTTGGTTTCTGTTGCATATCGTAACGGTGCAGAGCAGAACAAGAACTGTTGCATACTGTAACGGTGCGGACCAGAACAAGAACCGACCTCTCAATACAAAGTACAAGATGGCGTAGATACCAATGATCCGAACAACCAATATTGCAATGCAGCCCTGAACATACATCATCATCATCGTTACATGGTGTGAAAGGGGTCTGGCGCTTCACACAGGAAGACTGCGCCGGCCCCAACCATACACAGACGAAGAAGAAGGGGTTTAGACGAAGAGGAGGGGAAAATGGGAATGCCGACAACACCAAGTCTTCGGCGCGGGCCCAAATAGTCCCCCGTCGAAATGTCTGAATCCCAAATGTCAAGTCTGGATCCAATGTTGTCAAGTCTCAAGTCACAACTCTCTCTCTCTCTGTCGTAGTCTGAGAAGTCAGGTGGTGAGAGGGTGAGAAGAGATGGTGGACTTAGAAGAGGAAGAAGAAGAACTCTCTCTCTCTCTGTGTCCAGTACTGACCTCTGAAGTTGGCGCCTTGATGCAGGTATCTCGAAGATGGAGCTGGAGCTATGGCGCCACAGGTAAGTACCGCTGGCCTCCGCCAGCCATCTCTCTCCAACGCTACTACTACCACCTACTAGCGCGCAGCGCTGAAGACTACACCTACAGCCATGGGCGCCCAGCGCTGAAGACTACTGCAGCGCTCCTCCTGAGTGCTGCGGCCGAATCCTGAAGACTACTCGTCCTACTGTCCAACTACCTCCCCGTGAAGTGCATGGGAAACCCCTATGTACTACTCGGCCTGGACTGGCTGCAGGCGAGGCAGCAGTCCAGGAGGCTGCTCTTGCCAATGCCGTAGGGAGTCAAGGGCTGCCGCTGCAGCTCCTGCTTGAGGCAGTCGTGGGAAACAGGCTAAAGATAGCCTGTTCCCGAAACCCTGTTTTTGTGCCTGAGTCTTAGGTAGGTCGAACACAATGAGGGCCTGAAAATGGCCCTCCGTTTCAGGCTGAAAAGCCTCTGGGCCTGAAAGGCCCAGAAATAGGCTGAAAACGGAATAGGGCCTGCAGGCCCTCGTTTTCAGTTTCAGGCTGAAACGACCGGGGCCTGTAAGCCCTATTTTCTAGGTTTTAGGCTGAAGTGCGGGACAGGCCCTGCAGGGCCCGTGTGGCTACGCAGTATGCCACACCTCCCCTTCCTTGAAAGACCGAGCTTACCTGCGAGGGCGAAGCTGTCTGTCTGAGGGAGGGACCACAGTCGGGGTGGGAAGGGCCGGTCGTGAAGCTTCTTGAGCTAACCTTTGCTTCTCATAATGCGCGTAGATCAGCGGTGCGGATGCTTTCAAATCTGCTCCTGAAATCCACCGAGTGTCGTCGCGATCGCAGGCTATGAATGTGACTTTGTACTGTCGCGGCTTGCTGCCGTATTTGCGATCGGTGATGACGCGGTCAACTTCCTGATGACCATCCATAGCAGGAGGGTCCTGCGATCGCCGGCCCGGAAAGTCGTCGCTCTTAGCAGGCGTGTATGTTGCCAGCTTTGAGGCGTGAAAGACTAGATGGACCGTCAGATGCGGGGGGATGTTGATCACAAATGAAGGGCCATCGGGCTCATCGCCCGCGGCTGATGTTACGGGTCATGGTCAAAACCACTTGGGAAGCAGTTTGCGTGAGACATCTTGTTCCAGTGCAAACTCTTCCGCGGAAACCCAAACCAGGTCGCCGGTGCGGATGGGACATGACACGAGATGCCTGTTTGCTTGCTGCTGCATGCGGACTTGAGCCTTTTGCATATTCGCGCGGGCTTGAGCCAGCAATTCCCTGTAGTTCCGGACGGAAGCGGGAGAGCAAGCGGCATCGATGTCTGCTGGTCATGGGAGGAGAAGGTCGGCGAAGATACGGCCTTTCCGTCCACCGTGGTGCAACTCGAATGGAGTCACGCCGATCGTCGGGTGTACCGAAGTATTGTAGGTGAACTCGATGTCGGGGAGGCGGTCAACCCAATCTTTCTGGTCCGGACGGATGAGTGTACGAAGCATCATTTGAGTGGTTTGATGTGCCCGCTCCGTCTGTCTGTCTGTCTGTGGATGCCGAGCCGAACTTGGCTTCATCTTCGTGTCGGACTCCTGCATGAGTGCAGTCCAAAATGCCGACATGAAGCGAGTGTCGCGGTCGCTGACTATGTCTTCCGGTACACCATGGCCGCAAATCCAGCCAGTGTGCAGGAGGCGTGCCAGCTCGGGAGCCGTGGAGTAATACTTGCAAGGGAGAAAACGCGCGTACTTACTCATTCTGTCCACGACCGTGAGGATGCCGTCGTGTTCGAGGCGGTCGCGGGGGAATGGTCCGGTGACATCCATGGCAATGGAGAGACCGGGTTCCTGCGGGATCGGCATTGGGCGCAGCTCGCCGTAGGGGTTGCGGATGCGGGGTTTGCTTCGTCGGCAAACTTCGCAAGAGTCGCAATACCTCGTGATGTTGGTGATGAGGTCGGGCCATCGGAATCGCTGTCAAAGCCGTGCAATAGTGCGGTTGACTCCGAAATGGTCGGCGAGTCGCGAATCATGATACTCGTCGAGGAGGCGAGTCCGAAGACGGCGGTCGCGTGGGACACATAATAAGTCCTTGCCCCGCCAGTGCAGGAGCAAGTACCCATCGGCAATGCGATAGTGGCTGGCCGGCGGGTGATCCGAAGATAGCTGCGCGTATAGCGTGGCGAAATTTGGATCGGACTCATAGCCCTTGATGAAGTGTCGCTGGAGCTCCTCGTCGAATGCGAAGGCATGATGTGTCATAGCGCAAAGATCAGGTCTTCGCGAGAGTGCATCTGCTGGGCGATTGGAGAGGCCGGGAAGATGTTTTGGTGTGAAGTCAAATTGGTCGATGAAATACATCCATCGTTCGATCGAGCTGCTCACCGTATTCTGCGTCCTGTAGTAGGTCAATGGATTGTTGTCCGTAACCAATTTGAACCTATGACGCCCAAGGAGGAAGTCCTGCCATCGCTTGAGAGCCATGACGAATGTGAGCAGTTCCTTCCTTGCATCATCAAGCGAGTTGATGGGAGGCACTTTGTGGCTGAAATACTCCACAGGGTGCGAGTCGTCGCCGTCGTGCTGTTCCAAGACTGCCCCATTGCCATAGTCGGAAGCGTCAGTCGTCACTCTCGTAGGCAGGGTGGGGTCATACATGCTAAGGACGGGTGCCATGAGCATAGCCGTCTTAAGTGTTTGGAATGACCGACGTGCGTCGTCATTAAATACGAATGGCACCTTTGGCGATTGTAATCTCGTCATAGGTGCAGCAATCCTCGAGTATCCGGTGATGAATCGCTGATAGTAGCCCGCCAATCCTACGAATGAACGAACGTCCGTGGTGTTGGTGGGCTCGGGCCATACTCGTAGGGCCTCGATCTTGTCCGCAAGCGGACGGATGCCTTGCGATGTCACATAATGTCCCAAGTACTCCAGCTCCTGCCGCGCAAATTGGCACCTGTCGAGGTTGGCTTTGTACTTGGCTTGTCGTAGCCGCTCCAAAACGGTGCACAGGTGTTCCACATGCTCCTCCAAACTCCGGCTGTACACCAGGATGTCATCGAGGTAGATAAGTACGTATCGATCCAGCATTTGTCGGACTCCGTTGTCATAGCCGCTTGGAAAGTGGCCCGCGCACTCGTAAGGCCAAATGGTATAACCAGTCATTCGAAATGCCCATAACGCGTCTTAAACGCGGTCTTATAGCGGTCCTCCTGCCGAATCTCGAGTTGGTGATATCCCGACTTGGGACCAAGCTTGGAAAATAACTTGGCGCCTCCCAGTCGTTCGAGAAGGTCGTCGATGCGTAGGAGAGGGTCGGCGTTTCTGATCGTCTGGGCATTGAGCTTGCGATAATCGATGCACAACCGCAAATCCTTGTACTTCTTCCGGACGAAGAGCACCATATGGCGATGAGCTAGGCCGAATCCAGCCTTTCTCCAGAAGGTCGTCGAGTTGTGCCCGAAGCACACTTAACTCTTCCTCGCTCATTCGGTAGATGCAACCGCGCGGAGGTACGGCCCCGTCCTCGAGGATGATCTCGTAGCGGATGGCCCGATCCGGTACTACTCCGTGCGGGCCTTCGAACACGTCGCCGTAGGCGTCGAGAAACTCGGTGATGCGTGGATCTGAAGAAGAGTCCGTCGATGAAGCGTCATGGGGCGGGAGGACGTGGAGAAAACACACCCCATCTCTTCGATGTCGTCTCTGATGATGGAAGCTCGCTTGCTTGCGGCGGATACCACGTGATAGCTGACTGAAGCGTGAGGAGGAGCTACCGTTCATGAGACTAGTACTCCGTTCCGATCACGAACGTGAACGGTGCGGCGGTAGAAGTTCACCGGGTGATCCTYGCTTCGCAGCCATGACATGCCCAAGATCATGTTGAATTTGGTGTCCAGAATGTCAAAGGACACCGCCTCACTTGTGTGMGGGGCAAAGTACACTSGGACGTCATCAATGCACCGGTCGATTGACTTGTGCGTGTGACCGTCCGCCAACGWGACTTGCRTGGGCTGGGACTTCCTTCCGACTCGTGGGCCAAGGCCGGCGCGTACCATGAAGTCCTGACTCATGTAGTTGYGAGATGCTCCGCAATCGATCAAAGCGCTACAGGTCGCCTCTCCGATATGAATGCGTACATATAGCAATGGTGCGTCGATGYCGTCGTACCGTTGCGTCTTGAACTCGCGGTCGATCTTCGTGATGTAGGCRTGAAGGTYGACAACCTATACTCHRGCGTCCATCAGCGGAGTTGGTACTGCAGTGTGCAAGTAATCCCTCAATTGTGCCTTGAGCACGTTGCAATGCGGTTTCGGCAATCGAYCGGACCGGGGAAGGGGCATCCATTGGAAGTCCGCAAATGTCARCGGGTCGAGYTCGTCAAGTCTTGACCATGACGTTGAATCCCCGGCGGTAGATGGCGGCGAAGCTGCCGAATCGGTTGCCGATGRTGATGAAACTGTGCATGCGGTAGATTRTTGCACGTGGAGTGGTTGGTCCAGCGGTGGGACCAAGTGGACAGCATAGTCCTCATAAGCATACCGAGAACTTACGACATTCGCATCGTCCCCAGATGTGTAGGAGGCCGCTAGCAAGGCGG